AGGCAACTGATTAAACAGAGTCAGATGAGGGTTCCTGGGGGCATTGATGTGCTTAACACCTGGCACAGTGCCTTGTATGTAGTAAGTGATAAAGTAATGCCACTCTGTTCTCTCCAGAACTGCTGTCCCCTGTGATACACAAAACTGTGAGGAGGAGGGATTGTGACCATTTACTCCCCCAAATCATTTTCCCTGGCTCATGTCTGAGCCCTTGGCAGTGGTACTCCGAGTGGCTATAATGCTCTCACATTCAGCCCAGAGCTGCAACACTCCCTTCTCTCCCAGGAATCTGCATCTTGATCAACTCCCCAAATGGTCCTAGTATTCCCTAAAGTTGTGACTAGTTCCAGAGAACTGTACATCCACTAATGTTCAGAAAGAATGCTAGTTCCTTCAGACATTTACCAAAGGGGGAGAACTTAAGTAAGATTGGGACTTGCTGCAAAGCAAACCTCCTTCCTGGAGAGTAGCAGTATAATTACCATATTACAGGGTAGAGAAATCCCTAAAACAAAGACAACACAAGCAAACCAACCAAACAGCCTGATTTCCACAAGGGTAGCTTTCTTCTTTATAAATGGGTTTCAGAGAGAAGAAGGGAGAGAGGGAGAGAGACCTAGAAGCATCAATGATGAGGGAGAGACACTGGCTGCCTCCTGCATGTGCCCTATTGGGGTTCAAGCCCACAAGCCAGGCAAGTGCCCTCCTCAGGAATTGAACTGTGATCTCCTGGTTCATGGGTCGATGCTCACGCATTGAGCCACACTGTTCGGGATACTAGGGCAGCTTTTATTCTCCTTTCATATACATTAACACTCTGGCACTTTCCTCTAAATGCTGGTCCCCCACTCTGCCCTGAAGCACTTTATATCCAGGATGATTTTAAATGAGGGAATCCTCTCCTCTGCTTAGCAGTGCCCTGTACTTAATGGGCACTCAGCCCCTGAGAGTTCCTGTCCCTGCTTTATCCCTGCTCTGCCTGTGACCCCTTTTGCTTCCTTCAATAGGTCTCACAGCTCATTTCCTCTGTCTCCCTGCAGGGGGGGCTCTCTATGCCGCCACTGTGAGAAACTTCCTGGGGACAGAGTCGATTATCTCCAGGGCTGTGGGCCCTGCTGAGGATTGGATTCAGACAGAGGAGTACTGGTTTGAAGGTAGGGAGAGGAAGAGGGGTACTGTGGGGACAGAGAGGGTTGGTGGAGGCTGGGTGACCCCTCACTGAGTCTGTGGGATCTGAGGCCACAGGTCTCCCCAGATCCAGCCTTTGTCGCAGCCATGGCCTTGAGGCCAGCTGAGTGGGGGGATGAAGATGGAGACAAGGAAATCTACTTCTTCTTTACGGAGACTTCTCAAGCCTTTGACTCAGACGAGCACCTTAAAGTTCCTCGGGTGGCCCGTGTGTGTGCGGTGAGACTCCGAATCCAGCTGTCTGTCTGTTGTCTCCTACTCTGTCTTTTCTTCTGGTCTCTGTCTTTTCTTCTCTGGGTCTCCGTCTTTACATTTCTCCTCTATCTCCATTTTCCCTGTCTTGACTTATTTTCTGGGAGCTTGAAGACTATGGGGAAAGGGCTGTAGCCCCTTTAACTCCATGACTACCCTTGTGACAGTGTCCCTAGGAGGTGTAGAGGTGAAAAGTGGGTTGTAGACAGACCTGGGTTCCAGACCTTGCTCCACTACTTTCTGCCTCTGTGACTTGGGGCAGGTTCTTTAGCATCCTTATAGATGAGGATATTAATGATGCCTAGCTATAAGGGTTGTTTTGAGGCCTAAATGGGATAATGTATGTAAAGCACATAGTATAGTACTTCGTAAGTGCAACAATGAACTTAGTCCCCGTCATTGTGACCCTGTCTATCCATGTATCATTTCCTACTGCTTCCTCTGTCTGTATCTCTACATTGCATTTTTATGCGTCTGTCTCTCCATCTGTCCTTGTCTGGGTAAAGTTGTATTGGTTTCTACATTCTCGCTACAATGTTTGTCTTCTAAAGAGAAATACCCATGCTCTTTTCACCCCAGGGGGACCTTGGGGGCCTGAGGACGCTCCAGAAGAGGTGGACGACCTTTCTGAGGGCTGACCTGCGGTGTCCGGGGTCTGTAGATGGCCGGGCCTCTAGTGTCCTGCAGGACATGGCTATTCTTCGACCTGAGACTGGAGTGGAGGCCCCCCTCTTTTATGGCATCTTTTTCTCCCATTGGTGAGGGGGTCCTGGTGTGGAGGAGAATTACAGGGTGGGAGATACGTGGGGCTGGCACCTTTTAGTGCTGTCTCTTCCAAAGGGGGTTGCTTCTCCCAGGAGTCGGCTGCATAGTTCCTAT